AGCAGGCCCAAGTCACAAATTAATTGTTATTAGCAAACCCAAGTCACAAATTAATTGTTATTAGCAGGCCCAAGTCACAAATCAGTTGTTATTAGCAAACCCAAGTCACAAATTAATTGTTATTAGCAAACCCAAGTCACAAATCAGTTGTTATTAGCAAACCCAAGTCACAAATCAGTTGCGACTAGTAAAACTAAACATTATACTATTTTAAGAACTAATCACCGATGTTATAATACGCTGCATTATTTTGCTTCTCCTGTAAGCAGTCATATTTAAAGCAGTACAATATCTTCCCTCTAAAATTAATGGCTATTCACAAAATAAATCAGTGTTTAAACCTAACCATTCAGCTTAAAGTAAACTGATCTTGTAACTTCAACAGTTGTCATTTATTGAATCCATACTTTCATCTGCTAACTTCAACAGTTGACATTTACTGAATCCCTACTTTCATCTGCTAACTTCAACAGTTGACATTTACTGAATCCCTACTTTCATCTGCTAACTTCAACAGTTGACATTTACTGAATCCCTACTTTCATCTGCTAACTTCAACAGTTGACATTTACTGAATCCCTACTTTGATATGCTAACTTCACAAATTGACATCCTTTTGAACCCCCTAATTTCTTCTGCTGACTTCAGCAACTGACATAATTTTGAACCCCTATCATCAACTGTTTTTTTTTGTAGTTAAGTATCTTCTACATTTACTTTCCTAACTTCAACAGTTAATAATCTTTCTACCTCTACTTTCTTCTGTTAATATCGGTGGCTACAAGCTTTTGAATCTCTACTTCTATCTGCTTTTTTAGTAGCTAAACATTGTCTTCTTCCAATACTGTTGTAACTGTTCTTCTTCAACCTTATGAACTTAACTTCAGTTGATAACAACTGTTGAATCTCTATCTTTACCTTCTAATAACAAAAAATTCTCCATCTATCAGAGGGACATTATAGTGAGTGCTTGTCTAGTAGGGGCGTCGTTATAAAACGCCCTTTATTGGCCGGCTGTTCAAAGGCTCTTCTCTTTAGAATCCGTCATCAGATTAAAAAGGAATATTTCTATCACTAAGAAAAAAAAAAGTGGCCTCTAGCCGCTGGAGACAATCCAAGGGGAAAGACAGTTGGACAGGTTTCTAAGTGTAACAGAGTTGAAACAGTTTTCTAGATGACCGTTTCGATCATAACTGACCAGCACTCCGAGGGTATTATAAAAACTGCCACACTGCAGCTTACGAACAGTCTAAAAACAGTTTGTCTTATACCCTAACAGGAAAGCATGGTTTCAGTTGTATTTGAAGTGGTTGGAAGCGTGTTATGAGGTCTGACAAGTTACTTTCTTTCGTTATTTTTTTGTATAGAAAGAACCACTTGACACACTTGACCTTGTTTGTGAATTTCGAAAATGCTGGAGGTCGTGTGATAGTAGTTTGAGAAGTTTTCTTTTGTGGTGTTCGAGTCCTCTAATTAACATCCAGAATTTATCTATAAGCTGCTGCAATTATGTTTGTTTGTTTTAAACTTGAGAGCTATCTTCGCTAGCGGTTCCTAATTTTGAAGTGATACACAAGTAGAAAGATATCTAATCAACACCACCCACCACCAAGTCTTGAGTTACTCTTTCCCAACGAATAGTGGGATTCACCATCACATTATAATGCCCCTGTGGCTGAAAGGAGGAACATATTCGGGAAAGGGATTCGAACCAGAGACAGACTGCGAGTCGAGTTTTCTGCATTTCCAACCTTATGGAAAAGGGCTTTTCTGAGACGATAATATAACAATTAATTGCACTGGTATTGTCGGAAAATGGGCCGGCGAACACGACAGTGACTTCAGTCATCTTTCTTGGCCAGCACAGTCAGCAAGTCTCAATTGATTGAACATTTTTTTGACTAACCTGAACATTGTATTCACCACCAGAATTCTAATGTTCACAACAACAGACGATTGTACTCGAAGAATGGACTACATTCAAACAGGTGATCTCCACTGTACTCGAAGAATGGACTACAATCAAACAAGTAATCTTCATTGTACTCGAAGAATGGACTACAATCAAACAAATAATCTCCATTGTACTCGAAGAATGGGCTACAATCAAACAGGTAATCTCTACTGTACTCGAAGAATGGACTACAATCAAACTTGGTGTGGTATAAATTATACAAGATATCGGAAGATTACTTGTTTGATTATAGCCCATTCTTCGAGTACAGTAGAGATTACCTGTTTGATTGTAGCCCATTCTTCGAGTACAGTAGAGATTACCTGTTTGATTGTAGTCCGTTCTTCGAGTACAATGAAGATTACCTGTTTGATTGTAGCCCATTCCTCGAGTACAATGCAGATCACCTGTTTGATTGTAGTCCGTTCTTCGAGTACAACGAAGATTACTTGTTTGATTGTAGTCCATTCTTCGAGTACAATGAAGATTACTTGTTTGATTGTAGTCCATTCTTTTAGTACAGTGGAGATTACCTGTTTGATTGTAGTCCATTCTTCGAGTACAATGGAGATTACCTGGTCCAGACTATTACCGTGGAGAAGATTTTCCCACTTGATATTAGATGAGATTGGTTGTTAATGAAGCTGCAAGTCAAGGTATATGGTACTTAAAATGGCGCCGACAATTCTATAGGGTAATTTATAGTTTCTAAGGCATGTACAATTATAAACAACTTTTTAGTATATTGTATAATGTGCTCCTTCACATGTGGCCACATTACGTATAGTAAGTTCACCATGAGTGTGTGTGTGTGTGTGTATTGTAAGAGTTTATTTCGTAGGGATGCGACGGGAACTCGACCAGATATTCCGGCCCC